GTAGAATTTTCAGTTTTCGCATATACATAAGTTAATCAAATGCAAAATTCTTTTATAAATTACTAATGGATCCATTTGAAGAAAACATGAGTTAATTATATGTGGTTTCCAATATGAACAAACTCGAAATGCTACATTTGTAGATGAGAGTAACAAATATCTTCATATTTTGGTCTCAAAACACTTGAGATAGGTAAACTATATATAAATTACCAATAGAATGTATAATAACTAAGGGACTATCAATATATACAGGCTAGACCACAATCTTTCCTAATAATTTAGGATAAAATCCATCAAGAAGCTGTACCATTGGATCGTCGAGTCTCCAGTTCGTGCTCAGCGACCATAACACATGAATCTGCTTTAAGCAATGGAACCGAACTGTTCATCTTCATAAGTATCTCAGCGGTCAAAGAATTGATCGTATCCGTGGTACACTGTACATCAGGTGCGATCCCTACTTGGTCAATTTCGTGTAGAGACGGCGATAAATACTTAGCTACTGTCACAAACAAAGCTGACCCGTCGTCTAGCTCCGTTACGCTCTTGAAAATTCACAAAACATATAACAAATCATGTATATATCACCAGATCAAGATTTACGAATTACGAATTTATGTATTTCCATAAAGCTAATTAATGTGTATACCTGGATTTTCCCTTTCCCAAATGTCCGGTTACCAACAAGTATAGCTCGACCGTTATCATGTAAAGCACCTGCCAAAATCTCGCTTGCACTTGCACTTCCTTCATTCACCTGTTTAACATTTGATCTAGACACTTATGGAATGGTCATATAAAACAGAACCAAACATTAAAATCTCAGAAATATGCGTCGATTTGATCACCTAGCCAGCTTATACATATATATACTTACAAGCACAACAAGTGGATCGTGAGTCACAGCGTGTCCATCAATCATATTTATTGGTGATGCAACCCCTTCTCGGTCGATCGTATACACAAGGGTCTCATCTCCATCAAGCCATAACTGTGCAACATCGAGTCCTGCTTTAACCAAACCTCCCTGAAATGGAAATGTCGAAAGCTAAGTGTCGGAACATGTAACAGATGGACGATAACTGGCTGAAAATACCAAAACCAAAAACTTACCGGATTGTTCCTTAGATCTAGAATGTATGACTGAACATCTTGATTCTCCATCTCATGAACCGCATTTTCCATATCGGATGCTGCAGTCTACTGGAAGGTTTAAGTCAGTGAACTAAAAATCAATTGTTGTCTTTATTTGTTTTCGGTTTTCACAAGCATTAACCTGCGAAAACGCTGTGAGTTTGACATAACCGGTTTTTGCTAAACGGCCATCAGGTGTTGTATGTGGGATTATGGCACTGGATATCGGAGAGAGCTTAATGTAATCTCGAGGTAACTTAACCTTTACACATACGAGGGACATTTATTTAGTAATTCATTTGAAATCATCTATCATTAACACTGGTAAAAATACCTCTCTGATATTGGAATCTGTCCCTGTTCCATTGACCTGCAAGAGATGACAATAGCTTACCTGGTTTAATCTCAACTATATACTGGCTTTTCAACAAAGAAAATGCAGAAAGAGTGATAGAGAAGACAGAAGATACTACATACACTCTTTAGTTTGATAGTAACCAATGTTCCAACTCGGCCTCTCAGCTTCTGCGCTGCTGCTTCACTATCGATACCATCCAGTTTCTCGCCTGCAATCTCAAAGAAAAAGTTCGAGTTATAGCCAATTTACAGCAATCTGGTTGGTAGGGATAAGGACCAACGTACCATTTATCTCGACTAATTCTTCGCCTTCATGTATACCAGCACGATCTGCTGGGCTACCTTCTATGCAAGACATAACAACCTACATTGGGCTTTATCATGAAACAAGATCCATCTACCTCATGTTTACAAAATGAAAAATCGGTATTGAAAAAAGACGGAAAAACAAGCTTCTTTGGGTCTCAAGATCTGTTTGGTCACTAACCAGGTGACCTGTTCTTGGTTCTGAGTTTATGAAAAGACCAACACCTTGGAGATTACCATCGCTACCGATTCTGAAACTTTGATACTCCTACAAATCACAAGATATATCTCAAGGCAAAACCAAAATACAGATCGAAACAGCAACGAGTACATTCATTGGGGAATCAAAATTTGCAAATACCTTTGGACTAATGATTCGAGTAAAAGGATCACCAAGCGTAGAGAGCATGGCTTTGATCTTTCCATAAGCAGCATCTGCTGATCTTAAAGGAAACATTTCCACCATTGTCTGCTGCAATCTTGAATCCCAATCTGCAAAATTAAACACTTTCCTCAAAATCATTTCTACACAAAACCCTCCAACAAATTCATCACAAAAATCTAAACATTACCCTGATGATTAAAAGTTGGATCGACGAATGTTTCTCTAATCAAACCCCAAGCTTCCACAAGAGTTCTCTGTACTGTAGTAACCTTAACAAAACATCCCAAAAAAAAGAAGCAAACTCTAATTTCTCAGAGACATTAAAAACAGAGAACATAGCTCAACGAAAAATCTCGACCACCTCACGAGCACGTGAAATGGGGAAAGCGATGGTCAGAGACTCAGCGAGTGCCGGAGAATCACAGCCGATCCACGAAGAACACGCTACGGCAACGGCGGCGGCAAAACCGACCAATCTTCTTCGGACAGTAGTGTTGTCCATTATCACACCAAGGTTCTTCTCTGAATCAGACTCGAACTCTGTTTTAAACCCTAGACGCGAAGAAGAAGATGCAAGACGAGACCTTTCCTTATGACGTTTGAAGGTCGAGAATCGAAGAATCGGAGACGGAATCGAAATGGGTTTACGAGAATTCGGGAAGTGTAACAGAGGAAGATCAAGTTTTGGGGTTACAGCAATTTTCTCCATTTTTGAAAATTTGAAGAGGAAGCTTGAAAATTAGTACGATGAAAATGCTTTTATTGTTGTCTCTTATCTACTAATGACGTGTTTAAGAATTAAGATTAAAAGTTGTGGAAGATTCTTTATGGGGCCCACTTGAATCTTTGTGGCTTAGAGATTTTTGCTGTTGCGTATCTGACGAGAACTGTAATGTTGCAACTGACATTTATGTCAGTGATGATGTTATCAGGGGATCTAAAGGATGGACCAAAGAGTCAAAAGATATTTCTACTCATCAGGCCCATTTATCTCCATATGGGCCTGATACCGGAATTTTCCGATATTATTTTTCGTCTCAAGATGTAAGAAAGTAGGGGGACATTTTGGATAATGGATCTGTTATGTTATATAGGTTGTTTGTCTTTGAATTAACCAGCTAAAATATTCTTAACATTAACTAAACTTTTGGGTTAAATTACCAATTTTGTTAGCTAGATGATATTTCTAATCGCTTTGAATTAGAAATTTTGAAATGTCTATGTTAAGGCCTTTGAATAATGTGTATAAAATTTTATGAGACAACGATAACCAACTTGTTTTTGGAATTACAAACACCTCGAAATGATCAAATTTGATACATTTGAGACGAATTCAAAATCCACGTAAACGAAAAACTTAGTGACCGAATTATAATCGGAATCCACAGCAAATAGATTTAGTCTTCTTCTTTTCCTTTTTTTTTTTGGGGTTTTAATGTTAATTAAGTAGATATAAGTTTTAGCGATATCTTATGTTAAAAAAATCTTTCTATTAAAGGGCAAATATACAATATGAATAACTTGTTATTGGAATACATGTAGATGATCATTCACCATTCACCACCATGACACGTGAATGCAATTAAAGTGTTGCATGTGCATGCATCGGGAAAAAACGAGCAATTTGGAACAGAAACTTAGGGTTTTGACTTTAGAGATGGAATGTTTAGAAGATCGACATACATTTCATCTCCAAATTGATTGTTTCCCCTTTGGAAGGTAAATTTTGTAAGTATGGGCTTCCTCATAAACCCATCCCTCTCGTATTTTGGCTTCCACATTAGTCCCATCGTGAACGTACCCTTTTGTTATGAGTTCCGAGACAAAAGTTCTTAGTCACTGGTCTTATATATACACTTTTTAACGAGAAAAAAAAAATACTAATACCCATCACCACACGCATACATTTTTTTATGAGAATAAGATATGGAAATTTCATGACTAAGTGTGTGAGAATTGCATCGGTGGAAAGAATATTCTATGTAAAATAATAGAACGAAAATATTATATAACCACCACTTGACTAATTATACTACTAATTAAGATATATTCTACTATTCAGAATATTTTTGAAAATATCCAATAATATATGTTTATTTATCAAACACTCTTTATGTGTGATAAATTAACAGACACATGAAGTACTTTTTGGGGGTTAAATGTTTTTTTTTCATCAAAAAGCGGATTTACGAAAATATATAGCGTTTGATTATACATGTAGTACTTCTCTTAGGGGGTTTTGTTCTATCTAAAGTAGTCCTTATAACCGAAAACACACCTTAGAAAAAGCAAACATGATCAATTGGCTCTTCTTTTTTAAATTAACAGTAAGAATTTCATCTTTTAATTTGGTTGGTTTCTGAAAAGTAATTGAACAAAAAGAAAAAAAAAGAGGTATGGGAAAGGAGATAAAGACACATTTCACTTAAAAGCAAATTGTTGCAGACAAAAAAAAAGAGGGTTGAAAATAAAAGACAAAAAGGAAGAAAAAAATGAGTAAATGAAAAAAAGATGAAAAATAATTAGAGGAGAGAGAGGATAACAGACCTGCTCTTATCAAAGTCCACTGTTAATAAAGAAAAGAGTACCTGAATGAAAATAGAGTATACCTTCACTGACAATTTACTTATGTTATGTGGTCCATTTATTGTTGTAATCAAAATTGTAAATGGTAGTAAAATACTAAGATTATAAATTGTGTAACTTCTAAGTTGACCAACAAATCCACTTGATGAAATTGATATCGATCATATCCAATCTAGCATCTAACAATTAAAGTGAATAGATTTGTTAGGTTTCTTGTGATGATGTTTTAACATTGTTATAAAAACCAAAGTATTTTGATATTCGCTCTGACTATTCTATCGAGCATGAGATATCAAATTCTTAAGTCGGAATATGAATTATCTTCTCAGAAAAGAAACGATTTCAATTTTTGTATAGTGTGTATTAGTTTACTTAGATTTATGATAAAAACAAAAAAAAATTAAGTTACATCAATATACAGAAATTAATTTTTTAGAAAACAATATTCTCTTGGCAACATTTTTATTTAGTTAT